AAAATCTCTCAGAAGCCTGGAGAATTTTTCGAGAATTTTCGAACTGTCGAATTGTCGACTATCGAAAAGTATCGAATTTCTCAGAATGTTAAAATTTTTTAGAATCTTTTATATTCATATTTCTCGATTTTTTTTAAAAATATTAAAATCTCTCAGAAGCCTCGAGAATTTTTCGAGAACTTTCGAACTGTCGAATCGTCAACTTTCGAGAAGTGTCGAATTTCTCAGAATGTTAAAATTTTTCAGAGCCTCAGAACTTTTATATTCATATTTCTCGATTTTTTTAAAAATATTAAAATCTCTCAGAAGCCTCGAGAATTTTTCGAATTTTCGAATATAATTCGAAAGGTATCGAACTTCATGGAATATATTAAAATTTTCCGGACTCTTGAAATTTTTACAGTTTCACAGTATAAAACAGAACAGTTTTATCACGCGAAAAGATCTAAATATATACGAAACTATTTCTTCGAAATCTTCTTTGGAACAGAGTTGAAAAGCACACGAATCCTCTCGGCGTCGGAGTCACGACGATTCGAACGAAAAAGAAACAAAGAAACAAAAAAAAAAAAAAAAAAAAAGAAAACTGAGAAAAGACGGAATTGCCGCGACGTCGACGTTTCGATCGCGACACGATTTTTCTAATGCGAACGACGCTTTTGTCTGAAGCTAAGAAGATTACAGGATGGCCTGATTGCGAGACTCTGACGGTGATTGGATCGGCGATCGAACCACCGCGAACTTGCAAGCTCGCCTCAGCGAATTCTGGCTCTCGTCGAACAGAACGAATAAGAGATCAGGGGGGACCTAGATAAAACAAAAGCAGAAGAAGGTGCAACAAGATGTTTCTCAAACGTTTGCAAGAGTAAAATAACATTCAGACGTACAGTTACGGTGGCAAGAAGAAGAAGAAGAAGAAGAAGAAAAAAAGAAAGGTTGCTCTCTTTCGAGATTGGACAGAAAGCCTGATTGATTCGTTGGTCTGTTCGCTGCGCCACGGTTCACGCTAAAGGCAAGATACAATCAAACTGACACAGAGAGTTCTTTTAGAAAGAGAATCACACATGAATACAGATACCGAGATGTGTCCATTGTCCACAGTAGCTCATCGATCGTATTCGAATATCTGCGAGAATACCTATTTACGAATATATCGTGCGTGTTGTACGAAACGTTTTGATATTCATCGACACACGGTGGGATCCTCTTTTCAATCACTCGTACGATCAAGGCCATTGCTTGTTAATTTCACTTGGTAATTTTATTCTACGTTAATTCTGTTTTTATTCTTTATTAACTCGTGTCTTAATATCTTTCAATATACATGTACGATTCTAATATTTTACTCCTACAAGTCATGCTTCATCGTAGAAAACAGGATTTGCATAGTGACATTAGCAACTTTTGCACTCGCGAATGTTCGAATATTTTCGTGAGTTACTGTATATGAGAGAAAAAAAAAAAAGAAAAAAAATATACACACACATATATATAAAAGGAAAAGACATGTGTGAATTACAGTTCGGGCAGATCCTCGTCTGGAAATTTCAACCCATCCTTCACATGTATATACCCCCTCTCGCTGACGTATTCCTCGATACGTTTCCATCAGCTTCACGTTCCTCCCCATTACGTTTTCACTTAACCCATTACGTACGAGACACTGGCGAGAGTTTTTGCCTTGTCTGTCCATTGAAAGTGATCTCTCAACGATTTCTGATCACCGGTGTGGGAAATTAGGTATCTTCTTTGGTCGGAGCTAGTATTCTGTCTGTCACGTGCGATCACGATTATCTCTTCGTCAGTTTCCTCGTCAGTGTGATGCTTGACCACGTTCATTGTACGTAATGCGTTAACATCCTTCGGCTTTGCAGCCACGCGAGGACGTTCATCTTTCGTCTGGTTGCGACGAGATTATCCGCGATTGCGTTTCATGCAGATGAGTCGGAGAACAGAGAGAGAGAGAGAGAGAGAAAAAAAAAGAAAAATAGAAAAAAAAAAGGAAGAAAAGAAAGAGTGGGAACGAAAGCTCACTGAGCCGCACGACAAATCCGATTCGAACAGATTGGAGAGAACGCTTCCTCTACGACCCATTCTAAATACACAAAGAAGGAAACGATCCGAATTTCCATCGTGGCTCCGAGGACACGATTCTCTCTCTCTCTCTCTCTCTCTCTCTCTCTCTCTCTCGTGGTGCCACTCTCGAAGCAATCGTACGAAAATCATTCCGATCGTTTACGACCGATCGAGAATTGTACGACGCGGGCACACGTAGATGTAGACGAAGTACATCCAGCTCCAGAGAAGGAATTCCGTTCGAAGAGAGAGAGATAGAGAGAGAGAGAGAGAGAGACTACTTACCTATCGCTAACGAGACACGATCTGGCTGGTGGAACGCCTATTCGACCGGAAACACACTCGAGAAACCACACGTCGTTGACATGGAATGCATCGACGATTTTTTCCTATCGAGATTCACGGCCTACCCTCGTCATGCACGTGTATATACGTGTCCTTAAGTGTGTGTGTGTGTGTGTGTGTGTATGTGTGTCTTTTCTCTTTCTTCTCTAATTTTATACAGAACTTGGACTTTACGTGTCGCTTGTATATACATATATCAAAGAGAGTATCCTCGTGTTCGTATATCGTCGAAATCAAAGAAAATAAATTAGAAACCAGGGGAGAAGGATGGATGGATGGATGGATGGATGGATGGATCGATTGATCGGACCACGGTTCGATGGGTCTCGTTGTCGCTAAGACTTGTTCTGGAGAAGCATCGTTGTGTCTGCTCTGTTCGAGATTGGGAGGAAGCTGGTTAAAAGAGCTGGCGAAAGTCTCGAGATGGTAACGTGTTGATTGCTCAGACAAGTACGGCAAGTAAAATCGTAACCGGGGGGAAATTCGAAAATTTCCTTTTACAAGTGTCTCGAATTTAGTCCTATCCCTTCACGGGGGACGACACCAAGACTTACATTGTTACAAAAAAATGTAAAATATCCTTCAAACATGATACAGAAATTATCGTTCTTTAAATATCCATTGCGATTCTTCTGAATTTTTTTTTTTTACATCAAACCCGTTGGATTTCCCAGCGTTCTCCACGACAGTTAAGCTTCCCAAGCTGAACAACAGCGTCGAACGATGAAATTGTTGTCGAGCAAAGTTGAAGAGGCCTCGGTGGGAAATTTTGCAATGCAACAACACCACCCATCGACGCGAGTGAGAGATCGTGAAACAGGTACGAATGGCAGTCGCATCGTGTGGAAGAGACAGACAGGGGACTTTCTTCGATAGAAAGGAAGTTGACGGGAACATTTGGGATTCTGTAAGAGCCGCGAGGATGAGCTGTCGGTCAGTGTAATAAATATACATATCGAGCAAATGGAAAGTGAGACGTATATATATATATATGTACGTAATCATATACGGTATTTTTTTTTTTTTTCTTTTGCGTGTTTGATCTAAAAAGTTTGCCTTCCGGGGGAAGATTCCCTGCAGTGGTGGAGGATAAACACACGCAATGCCTCGCTGTGTTTCGTTCTATCTGTCGCCTAACGAAAATTACAACCAAAGAAGGAAGAAACAAAAACAAAAGACAAATGATAGAGAAACCAAAAGAGAAAAAGAATGAAAGTGGAGACGGGAGAGCCTGGACACTGGTCCCGACGAAAATTTTACCCGGAACTAATCGGTCGAGGCGAAGCATTTTTCGCCGTTTTACTGTAAACGAGGCACAGTTCACTTCGACCCAGACACATCGGAGCGATCGATTGGCAAGAAAAAAAAAAAAAAAACGTTTGTGGGACTGTCCGTGAAACAAACAGAAGGAGATCCACCACTCCTCGGGATGAGAGCTTTTCTCGATTCGTTCGGTCACGTCCGTTTCTCGTGTTATATAATTTCAGCTTTCTTTGTTTCTCTACCAAACGTACAGATACAAGACTCAAGAGTAATACCTGTACACACATGTATAAACGTATGTATGCATGTATGTATGTATGAATCGTATGACGTATCAGATCATTGTCCTTTGACAGACAACGTATCGGAGGGACTTGCATCGGGCTCCTTTAATCATTTACCTTCGGTTTCTCTGTTTTCTTTCTTTCTTTTTTTTTTTTTTCCTTCACCTGTGCGATGAACACACACGCTATGCTTGTACACATAGTTTGTCACGTACGACGTGACATTACCCTGCGGCAAAACGCGGCAGTGATATATGCAGACAGTTCCAAAAACTGACCGTGTGACACGTGTGAATCGAAACGTATATATATGTACATATACGCGTGGTATCAAAACTAAAAAAAAAAAAAAGAAGAAAAAAGAAGAAGAAAGAATGGATATCACGAAGGGACCAGCCAGGCCCGAATCATCGTCCTAGAACAAATCAGGGAAACACTGCAACCAACGGCGACGCAAAGCTGTACAGACAGACAGCGCGGCCAGATAGAGAGGTTTCAAAGGTATTAAAAAAAAAATTAAAAAAATAAAATTAATATATATATACATGTACATATACATATATATACATATACATATATATACATATACATATATATATACATATCATATATATACATATACATATACATATATACATATATACACACATATATATATATATATAAGAAAGAGCCAGTCACTTTTTGAAACTGACAATTAAACAAAAGACACGACGATGAGACGCTTGGTTTCTTTTCATATCTTTTGTAAAAGGGTGACGCGAGCTGTATCGGGTATATTATATATATGAGATGTATATATATATATATATATATATATAAATAGTATACATATAATACTATATATATATAAAATATCAAATGAAAAAAAAAATATATATAGAATATATATATATATATATATATATATATATGTATGTATAAAATGAAAATAATGGTTAAACACTCACATAGACTTCTTCCCATTGCGAGACATACCGCACCAGTCTTGACAACCGTAGTAACCTAACGAGAGACAACAGTTTCGCAAGCCTGAGGATCCTGAGAGCACGGCCAGCATGCAGGATCTGGAAGGACTCGCTAAAGTCCTGAAACTGAAGATTCAGGCGATTATCCCGTGGGAAGGTCGGTCCCCTCTCTCTCTACTACGCGTAGGTCCATTAAAGCTGCGTGGAATAGAATCTCAGCTTGACGCCGCCACCGGGAATGAAACGAGAGCGGCTTAAATCGAGTTTACGTTCTCTTGTCTATCCCGTGGAAATTATAGCACGTTGTCGCGAGATTGCGTTCGCCGCGTTTGAATACCCGCTGCCTCGGGAAAGATCCCTTGGTAAACTCGTTTGTTGGCGAACAAGGTGAGATACAGTTCTCGACGTTTCTATTGGGTTTCTGTCCGCGATGCTCGTGCCGATTTCCAAGGAAAATTCAAAGTGCAGCACAACATTTTTACGTGTGATCGATGCTTATTTGTTCAATCGTGTATTCGCCGCAACATCTTTTGCCATCTTCCACGAAGACTCGAAGATATCCCAGAAATCTTCTCTCAGCTCTCTCGATGGCAAAACAGGTTTTCTCAAGGTGGTCGACCGAAAGACTTCAAGTGTCTTGAAATGCATCTTTGTTTTCTTCCATCTTCCACACAAGTCAATTTATCTTCAAGCAACTTTTTTTTTTTTTTTTTCTAAAGATGTGACGCGAATCATATGTTCTCAATCACTTTGACACGAAAATCGGCACGAACTTCTCGGACAATCCAATACGTACTTTCGTATCTCGTCGGACTGCAAAGAAGTCAGAAGTCGGAAGTCACTCACGATTGGACTTTCTACTCTATTGACATTGATTTAACAGCGAGATAAAAGAAGAAAAAGAAAAAAAAAACAATTGGGATTCTTGACGACGCGGATAATTTAAATATTGAAACAGCTACTACGATTAATTTATTTACGCAGTTGGGAAGACCGTGGTTGCATGCGCGTTGAAGTGCCGCGTGTCTCGTCGAGGCTCGTGTAAACAGATTAATTACACAAATCGAGTTCGCGGCGGGAACTAAAACACAAGCCCGGCTTAAACGAATCGAGGCAAGAAATATACGCGTAAATATGCACGCCCGGCCGCGCGATAATTAATATGCACTTACTTGATTAAATATGAGGAAAATGTAGTCTAGTGGTATGGAGGAAATGAGGTCGAGAAAGAACCAAGTCCTGAGGTAGTGTTTCGCGATTAACTTCGGGTCCAGGATCACTTGTTCGGCGTTATCCTGTTGCATTATACCTGCAAGCAGCACGAACAAACATCGTTGCATTTTCTAATTTCTTTTTTTCGAATTTCCAACTTCTAACTTCCGTCTGTTGAATCGCTGGATTTTATTTACGAGAAAATTATTCATCGAACTTTCGAAGCAAAGTTGTTTTAAAGTAAATCGTTTTTCCGTGTGTCTCCACACACACACATACACGTCCGTATTTGGATTTGAAGTTTCTGAAAAGCTACGTGTGGCGACACGATGGTGCACTTTGATCACAATAAATACGAACTCTGAACAGCAAATTAACACAAGTAAATAGAGCTGGGAGGATCAATAGGGTCGCTTTTGACGGCCGGATTAGGAGAGACAGTTTGCTGTATAGTTGTATGTACATATATAGCATGTGTGCGATTTCATGTTGGTACCCTGAAGTTTATAATGTGGCTTCACCTCCGCATTCACCAGCGGAGGACTATCTCGGCAAGTTCTCGTCTTCTTATCGATTTTCTTAACCCCGCGAAGATCGAGTGCCACGTATTATCTTCATCTAAAATCTGGCCAGAAACTTTGAATCTTATCCTGTCGTGCATCTCCGACGAAGAGGGATGCATTTTCCTTAATTAATAAAACTTTAGAAATTTAAAAGAACTCGAAACCGTTCGGACAAAGTGAAGACGTGTTCAACCACTGTTCTATTCTGAGATATTCAGAGTTTCTTTTCTGTCACAAAATTCAAGATCACCATCTAATGACAATAATTTGAGAAAAAAGAATAATTCAAATAAAATAGAACTTTGTGCCAGTATCAAAAAATGACTTGTTACTTAAAGGTCGTCGGAACAATCGTTCCAACGCGGAGACAATCGAATTCACTATTAAGACGTGTTCAACCACTGTTTATTCTGAGATATTCAGAGTTCCTTTTCTGTCACAAAATTCAAGATTACCATTTAATGACAATAATTTGAGAAAAAAAAAATAATTCAAATAAAATAGAACTTTGTGCCAGTATCAAAAAACGAATTCACCATTAAGACGTGTTCAACCACTGTTTATTCTGATATATTCAGAGTTCCTTTTCTGTCACAAAAAATTCAAGTTCAAGCCTCATCTGAATACGTTTCAACGCGGAGACAAGTCTCAACTTTCTCGAGATCTGGTATCGCGACCGCTACGTCGCTCGCTCCTTTCCGGAAACAGTTGCCTCATTAGCATCGAAACATTTCGTTCGAGTGGATCTGGTCTAGCCAGGTGTCCCCGGGGGGTGTCCAGTGTCGTTAGTATTCGTCACGCAATATTGGCCGGCTAATCTGGATCAAGAATTCGCGACAATCGCGAATCGACGCAGTCCACGTACACGGTTTAACGCGTACAATGGCTTTCATCGGGCGCGGCACGTGACCCGATTTCCCTCCCCCATCCACCCACACCCTGTTCTCTGGGACCGAAGCCGAACGCGTTTCAAATTAATCCCCTGGCTACAACGAAAACGTCTGAGCCGATGTACCAGCGTGTCGAGCAATGTTATTATTGCACATCGAGAGCAACCGCCTGCCCGCTTGAAGGGTTGCCAACCGAACGTGCCTGCGCCTCGAACGGCCCCTTTCTAGATTTAATAACCGAGCAGGGGATGCATTTAGCCAGCTATCGATGCGCACGTTCTCTCTATTGAGAGTTTCCAATGATAAGACGGGGATTTCCAGCTTCGTTTTCCAACGAGTTCGATGATTTTGATTGTTTAGGGTTGGAAGAGAGTTTGGGAATTGGGCAGATTTCTTGTAAATTCAATGCTTAATTTTACAGGAATTCAACAAATACTTCCATCATTCTTTTTCGAATGTGATTCTTAACTTCCGGTTATTAGGTACTCTATCGGCATTAGAACTACCAACGACTAAAGTGTAAAATTTTAGTCTAAAAAACAGAGACAAAAGAAATAAAGAAAAAAAGAGAAACCTTACAATACAATAGAGTGCAAAAGCTTTTATTTTAATATATGTAATTGTATACCATTTACATTAAAACTATATTAATAATTATATACCATTTATAACACATAATATTATAATAATATATTAATATATATTACAATATATATAATATATATTAATATATATATTGTTGTAATATAAATGGTATACAATTAACAGTTGTATAATAATTACCATTATAAATAATTATAATATATAATGATGTATTGATATACCATTTATAATATATAATGTTATAATACAAGATGGGTGAAAAATCACCTTCTATTGAAATAAATTTAAATTTTCAGTTTAATTAAAAATTGACAAACTTTTTCTTCTATTTTGATATTTCATTAAAAGAAAGATCCACCCTATGCTATGCTAACTATTATATACTATTTTTTAAATCTCTAAAGATACACTGTTTTACATCTACAAAATTTCGACCAATTTTATCTAAAAATGTGTGATTTTCAATCTCTTTAATCCTATCCCTTTAAATCTCCTTCACACGTGTTCGCAAGTATCGCCTGTTTGTATTGCTCCCCGAATGCGATTGAAGGCTAATTTCCTTTGTAGGAATTAACACTTTCAGCCTGCTTGCCGTTACAAAAACCACCTTTGACGAAACGGAATTGGATGCCGCCGAATGTAACGTCATAAAAATGTAATCGGCTCGCGTGAATGCCGCGGATTCACTCGGGGCTTCGCGCTTTTGTTCGTTTTCTTTCGCGATTCTTCCCGGCAGTAAACCCTCCACTTTAATGTCAACAATTAGAAGTTCCTTCTTTTCAAACTTCCCCTGAGCTAGCTCTCAAAGGAGGCCGCAGCTCAAAGACTTGCAACGATATTACCTAATCGGATGAAAGCACGGAGAATTTTTCCAATGAAATTTTACATTTAGTCTGGCCGTTTAATTTAGCCGTTGATTTAATGTCGAACGGTTCGGTTTCGCATAACGGAGAAATATTGAAGGTGACGTGCGATTTTAAATCTTTAGGTGCCGTGTAACAATGCTCGGACTTTTCTCGCTGATGGCGCAGTTAGAAAGAAGTTTCACGCGTGATAGATAAATTTTGTTTAACGACGTTTCGTTGTTTCGAATTACGAATTCCTCCGAAGTGGGGAACTTCTGCCTCGGAGAACGTTTACTATCCTCAAAGTAGATACATTTAGTGCCTGGAAGCACGAAGACGAAACTCTTTCAAGCACTTCTCAGCTTGCGAACGTCTGCGAGGATGGTTCAGCCCCCTGGGCATTTGCGACTGGTCTAAACTTCTGAATAACGTTCCGAATGCCTCGTTCGTAGAATTGATAAAAACGAACGGAATACTTAAAAAAAAAGTAGAAAAGATTGTAAGAGAAATTCGTTAATAAATTATTACAATAAATAATTAATATTAGTACGAGCGTTAAAATCCTGAGATCCCCCTGCGGGGATATCACACGACTCTATATGTCAGAGAGAGAAAGAGAACGAATGAAAATGCACGTCGAGGAAAACTGTGTACAATGTGAATCTGATTTCAAACAATGCAGGAGAGCAGAATAAACAATGTAAATCTGATCTCCGTGAATCGAGGAATATCAAAGTAGACAGCGTGATATCGTTGAATCGTAGAATTAAATAAACAGCGTGTGATATAATCAATTTTGGCCCGATTTAATCAAGTTTAGCCTTAAGTAATATAGTATACTAATTAATTTGGTATAATTTAGTATATTAATAATTTTTTTATTATAATTTAGTATACTAATAATTAATAATTTAGTATATTAATAATTAAGTTAGCCTTAAGTAATATAGTATACTAAGCCTTAAGTAATATAGTATACTAAGTAATTTAGTATATTAATAATTTTTTTATTAGAATTTAGTATACTAATAATTAATAATTTAGTATACTAATAATTAAGTTTAGCCTTAAGTAATATAGTATACTAAGTAATTTAGTATATTAATAATTTTTTTATTATAATTTAGTATACTAAGTAATATAGTATATTAATTTTAATATACATATACATGTAGCATTTTAGCCTTGATTACATAACCTCCAAATCACAATTAGTTATTAGCGCTGTAAAAATTTTGAAAATTGCATTATCTTGTTGATAAATTATACAATGTATACTGTTATTATATAATAATTATACCATGTATAATAGTATGTTGATGAATTATATCACACCTTGTATAAATCAATATCGTCAATATCGGACGAGAGTGTAATAGAATCGAAAATTTTGTATACCTTTTATATAATGGATAAAACTTCCTACACACGTAAACATCGATTTAAATAGAGCGTGAATAAATAAATGTAAAAAAGTCAATTCATACATTTCTATTGACAAGATACTTATTATAAAACCTAAGTTGACTAAGTGTTGAAGATGCAATAATCTTTTTAAAATCTATTTCTAAATTAGCTATTAATCCTGAAGCAATTATTGTAATTCTTGAAAATAATATAATAGAATTTTTATATTCAATATTTAATATATCATTGTATATAATTATTAAGTAAATTCCTGCAGTTACTAAAGTTGAGAAGATACTGGAGTAGGAGTGCTATTATTGCTATAGGTAATCAGACAAAAAAACGGAAACCGTGCACTTTTAATAAAAACTATAATAATTAATATTAATATTAATGTTTCGTTTATTTTGTACAATAATATGTTTCATCTACCAAAAATTCTCAATATTGAAATAATTAGAAGATACGGAGTTATTAATTGATCGAATCGTCGTGTCGGTAAAAATTCGTCAACTTGCATTGTTTCGTCGACGATTTGCACGAATTATCACACTTCGTCTAAAGTTATCACTCGAGGATATCGGACGCGTGAACGAACAAACGTACAAAATCATCACGTCGATAAAAATTTTCCAACTTGCGCTGTTGATGATTTGCACGAGTTATCACATTATCTCGTATAAAATTATATCGATATACGAAGTTCGTAATTGACCGAATCTCGCGAACGTGTCGGCCGTTTCGGAGGAAGCGGAGAGATTCGGGGTTGGGAGACGAGCCACGGGGGAAACGCGCTGTGGACAAAATGAGAAGAGGAACGAGGTCGGGAATCCATTCTTTCCCCAATGTCCTTTCCCCCGACGTGCACACGACAATGCAAACTTCGCATCGCTTCTGGCTCTCCCGTTCCGCGAACGCGAACGGGAGTAACCATTAGTCCCGACGTGATCGTCCAGTGAAAATGTCAGGTCCTTTCGTCGTTTCTTTTTGTACCTTCGGGATCGAACCGATTTTCGAACTGAATACGCCGGCACACCGTCGATAAGGCTTTGGAACGAGCAAGCGGACGCAATTCAATTGGAACGAGGAACATTTTAAGAGACGACCAGACCCGGGATTCGCGCTGGCGAATAGTCTTTGCTACCTTCTTTCTCTTTTTTTCTTTTTTCTTTTTTTTTTTTTATTATCGCGCGACTTTAAACGGCACGATTGTGTCCGAAGGATTAAGAATCGAAACGTATCGTTGAATGTTTCGTAATTTTCAAAGTAAAGTAACGTTTAGAAGTTGTGAATGATCAATCGAGGTATGCGCTTCTTGAAATTCGATTTCTTTTTATATTTAATGTTCAATCGAAGACGTTTGAATTAGACGAGCCTCGTAGGCGTGTGCGCTCACCTGTCCTGAAGTTGACGACAATGTCTATGAGGAATATCGTGTCGGAAAGGCAGTTGAAGGCTATCCACCTAGTGCTTAGGTCGTCATTGAAAAAACTAATGGCGACTGGCAGAATTATCAGATTGGCTACCAGCAGGAGGAGCATGCAGAGGTCCCAGTAGAATCTGTAATCAGACACGAAACCGATATTATTAATAATTCGATTACTATCGCTGCCATAAAACGACGCTAATTGACAGTAAAATACGATCAGCTGACGACGAAATTAATTTCTAGACACGAGGAAAATCCAATCGAATCGGAGAGGCGGCAGTAGAATGTCCAGTAATGGTCAGACACAGCACCAGTGTATTCATGTATTCCACCTGCGCCTCGTGTATAAAATGAACTCTATCTCGGATTCAATCGTTCTGAATCGACCTCGAAGAAAAAGGATCGCGTGATCCCGACGAATCGTAATTCGATCTAACGTTCGATACGTGCGAAAAATTCTTTTTATAAATGTACATATTCGCCAAAAAAAAAAAAAAAAAAAAAAAAAAAAGAAAGAGAAGAAGTAACACGAGACTTTTCGCCTTAATTTTTAATCGTCGACAGATAGTGCATCGCCGTGTAGATTTCAACGTAATTCAACTATCTTAATTGAAAGGAGAGAGAGAGAGAGAGAGAGAGAGAGAGAGAGAGAGAGAGAGAGAAATCTCGATGTCTCGTTCTCGCGTGAAAGCTCTCAAGTGCCGATCCCACTGGAATTAGTCGGTTTTTCTTTCATTCGCAGATTTCATTTCCCATGGCAGCCCTCGGTGAACGTTGCGACGAGTCGCAGGGATTCGCAATCCGGTGGTAGCGTGTAACCTACTTATCACAAAAAAGGCTACTTCTTTTAAACCGGATTGTCTTCACGGCTCGAGACCAAAGCCAACCAGTCTTAATCGCGTGGGCCACGTGTTTTCCGTGCCGGAAATGCCGGCCAGAGATTTTATACTCATTCTGTTTACCGCCTGCTGCGACGACGAATTCGCATTCCCCGGATTCTTCTCTAGAGCAGCTAACGAGCGCTAAAAAGCAGAAGGAGAGAGAATATCGGTCGTAAAGCGGCAGGGAACTTGCGCCAGCACGGAGAGCTTTCCTCACAAATATTGGCCGAGGGCCTCGCGTTTTATTACTGCACTTCGAACGTACCGAGCTTTACTCTCGTTACGCTCTGTTACTGAAACATCCCCGAGTCGATTAGAATTTCACAAAGATTATTTCCCACGAGGGATGCGGGCGTACGCTTTGGCGTATGCCTTCGCCACAGGTTAAAATCTATTATATCTCTATCGCGTCATACGATTGCTCCCAGAATTTTAAACTAATAGAAATGAACACGATGCATAGTCCATAATGAGGGTACAATTGATTGAATTAATTCAATGTACAAGCAAATGTATAGATGTTATTGAGTTGAGTGAAATTCTCCCGATAGACGGCTAGCATAACTCTGGTAGTATTGCATGCGTTTGAAAAGGTCATAGAGAAATTAAAAAGAAGAAAAAAACAAGTTGCGATATTTGTTTATTCAGTGGAAAATTATCGCGTCTTGAAATTTTATCATTTAAAAAAAGGGAAGAATGCGACTCTGGCTGCTAAAAGAATCTGTAATATTTGTGGACATGGTGCAGTATCAGCAAGTGTGGCACGAAGCTAATTCGATTGTCTTCGATTGTCTGGAAATTTTGACGTCAAAGACGCAGCTCGCTCTGGTTGACACAATCACTGGAAAAATCGATAAAATCGTGGAAAAAATTGAGTAAGACCGGCACACTGGCAGTCACGATATCGGTAAGAAACTAAACACCGACCACAAAAACAGTTTCAAGTCATTTGGAGAAGCCTGGTTACCAAAAAAAAAAAGTGCTCGGTGTTTGAGTGCCACGTGATTTAAACACTGAAAAATTTAATGAATCGAATTCCTTTGGCGATTCGTCAAAAATCATATTATAGTCCTGACCTCCTACCATCAGGCTACCATTTGTTTCGGTCTCCATAGAATACTCTTAATGGTGTAAAGTTGACTTGCAAAGAGGCGTGTGAAAAATCACCTGTCCAGAGATCACACAGAAATTTTACAACTAAAACGGCGCATATTCGGTTTAATAAACTTCACGTAAAATATGAAAAAAAAACTTGTCTCTCTTTAGCACTAAAATACTTGAATTACTTTCTATTCAATCCAATGATAATCCCTCGAATATCGCGATGTTGAAGAGTTATTCTTTCGGTCACAGTCGATCAACTGATCGTCGCCATTCGCGATGTGCACGCACGAAAATATCACTAAAACGCACCACATACGCGTTATCTTCGTTTCCAGTTGATCCAGAAGCACTCGTGGAATCGTGGCTATGCTCGAATGAGAGAACCAGTGTGCCAAGCGCATCCCTTTTTCTCGAAGAGAACGGGAGAACGTTCTTCTCCAAGGGCGAAAGTTTAATTAACAGACGGCTGCTTTTGTTTCGAGTTGTTACTTTCAACTTCACCTTTTCAACGCCTAAGTAGTAGTCTAGGGGTCGGGCGATTTAAACGAAGTGGCGGCTTCCCCGAGTGAAGACGGCGGAAATATTGTTCCGGCTGTTTGCGCCGTAGGTTTCCGGCCGTGTAGCCGGAAAATTGTAATTAAAACGCGGCCGGCTATTTCGAGGACGCGGTAAAAATTACGAATTCGCCTGGTTTTTTTTTCACTTCCCATTCAGCCTCTTTTATTCCCGGATTTCTTGCGTATCTTCTGACTCGCGTGGAGTAGCAAAGTGGCTAAATTACAATTTCAATTATCCACGGCCAGGCATTTAAAGCAGAATTCTGCACACAGTGTTCGAGATTCCAAAAGTCTCCAGAATCGAAGATTCGAAAGAGAGAAACAGAAGGAGAATTCCGTGCTATTCGGCCTCGAAAGATCGAAGCGATTGGTCGAGGGAGCAAAAGAAGGCTTCGACTGCAAGATAGAAACAAAGAGGGGAAAGAAGGGCAGGAGAAGCGCAATTTCTGAAAGGTCCGCTTTAATCAGTTCGATTCCAGGCCAGAGCCAGAGCAACATTGGCCCACTTCGCCGGAGTAATAACGTAGCTACATCGGGGCAATAAATGTGCTCGTAGCGCGCGCGAAGCTGCTGCAGGCTTGGCTCGGAAACCACCATCGCAGGGGCAGGGGGTGGTGGTGGCGGTGAAGAGGTGAAGTCTCTTCGTCAGCACGCACCGGTGAACGCGACCTTCTGCCTTCACACTTTCGCGGAAACAGCTCCACTGGCTGTTTATTCCCTTTTTCCATCCTCGTCGCGAAATCCAGCTATCTCTCTCCCCCCCCCCCTGTTCCAAAATGAAATTTCCTCCTCTTCGAGGCTCTGTGTCTTTCACGGAGGCGCTTTCCATTCATCTGGATTTAAATAAGAGCATTTCTAGCGAATTTTTCTGGATCGTTAGCAAGCAGAAAATGTAACGATAGATACATAGGTTTTCTGCGAAAAACTAGAAAATTTTCTTGCGCACGGTGTCCTATAATAATTGGCGGCAGGAGGTGGGTTTTAAATTTTTCATTAAAATCGGGTTGGAAAATTTATCAAGTATTTATTGGATTTAGATAATTTTAAACGTGACTGGAAAGAATAATTAACAGAAAATGACTAATTACAGTCAAGTGCACGTGCAGCGAGACAATTTTTAGAGAAACACGTACTTTCTTGAAAATGACGTCTTAAAAATTTTTTAGTAATTTTAGTATACGGAATTAATTAAATTCAAGTATACCTAATAAATTTTCAAATTTCAAAATTTCGATTTCTTCCTAAAGACAAAGGCTTTAATGCAAAATTTTGATTCTTCCTCTTCACGTAGAAGCACCTTGTTACCACCAGTTACAGGGCTGAAGAAGCGAAGCTCAACCAGAAATTTATTTCATTTATTCTCATCAAGCGTTATTAACGAGTACAATATTTTAGATATTTCCATTACGTTCTACAAATTTGTGTGAGAATTCTTTTTGCTTCTTCTCGAGGATTTCAATAGGATCTGTGGAACTTTATTACGCAAGATCTCTAAGAGATCTGCTTTGTATTCTCTCCTTCAAAGAATGAATTGAAATTCAAAACTCTGGAAACTGTCTTCGGAGGAATCTCTCGTACAAGTGTTTCGAATATCCATCCTCGACGAAGTTCAACGTTTCGGAGAATTTCAATTTCCAATGTTCGGCGATGCGCGGAACATGCTCGACTCACACAGTTACTAATTAATTCACTATCGAGACGAGCGCATAAAATCGCTTTGGAATCAAAGCGGAAGCGAAGAATGATGCGAGCCGGCTCTCGAAATATTTGTCCAACCTAAAATTAAGCGGGGAAACGAGGAGAGGCAAAAATGATACGGTCGAGTCGGAGAACCACTAACGCCCACTAACGCGTTTTCCATTTCAGTTCCAAGCCCCAGCAGGTATTTTTAGACTCCTCTTCAAATGTTTGAGGGAAAGGTAATTACGAGGTGAAGTTCGATCGCGGAGCAAACGGAGGAAGCATCGATCCTCCGCGTCACGGTTCTTTTATTTCCAAGCCTGTCAAAATAAAAGCATCCAGTTAAGCCTGGCGACGAACGTCGATATTTTTATACAGCTATTCCACAGGCTAGTAGTCTCTATCACTGACTTTTGAAATTTGAAAATTCAACCTCGAGAGAAGTTAGAATCGAGAGAAATATTTCTTGTGCCACACACGAAAGAATTGCAAGCTTTACCAAAAGATCAATAGCTAATCACACAGCAAACCTTTATTACAAATAGCTGAACTATTTCTTACAAACTTTGAGAGAATTCTTGAAAAACAAAAACAAAAAAAAAATCACCCGATGACAATTTGTTAAAAATTAGTTAGTAAGAAAACGAACGATCATTCACTTTGCGAGAAACGTGGTGAATTTAGTAGGATCGATGCATCAGTCGCACGTACGTTTAAATATATTCATTAATGATGACCGTGTGGTAGAGAGCCGGCGTTAAACAGCCTTCTTGAAGCCTCTTTTCTAACACCCCTGTACGTGCCACTAGACACTGACCTAAAACCGTCGAGAGATTACGCCTTGGCGATAACCATATCCCCGAGAGTCGAGATTTATGCGCTGCTTTTTACACGGAGGATCTGTTTTAACGAGCACGCCTCGTGGCCAGCTCCGCGAATTCAAGACGATTTAAAACGTTCCCAGCCGCTTGTCCCCTGCCAACATTTTCGTTGAAAACCTGGACCTAGACCTGAGAGTCTAGCTGCTCTTCGATTTAATTAAATGTCCGCTCTTGCTTCTCGTTTCTCACGTTACTTCGCACAAAGAACAAAGGAAGAGATAGCGCCAGTTGTTCGGAATCGAAAGTCGATGAACTTTCGACGAATATATATTTCGAAACTCGCCGGCGAAGGCGTAACGTCACGAAGCTTGTTAACAAAGTGATCATCACGTAATTCTTTCAAACGTTACTTAAATAAAGTTGGATGCTGATAGATCGTTCCTACTTAATGTAGCGATGCAAACGAGGATTGATGGAGCGAACTCAGGAGATCAGAATTCCCAACCGTTTGCCGCAATTATTTCGCGCTACGCTTTTGTGTTCGAACGCACTTCTGATTAATCGTTTCTCGAAGGCTAATTTACCAAAGTTCAATCGACGCTTGTAATTTTATGAAAAAAAAAAAAAAATTGTTGATCACAAAGATCAGTCCGGTCAATTTCTCGAAACTGTTCGAATTTAAAAAAAAAAGAGAGAAAGAAAGAAAAGGAAAGAATTATTCGAAATCATTCAAGGACAAGGTGAAACTTTGCAAAAGTTCAACTTGCGTTGAAATTTCGTGCCGCGGTAATGCGCCGGACGTGTTAATTGAAATTAATTAAATTTTCTAGCATCGATCGTAATCCTCCGGGAGAGGATTTGCAAATTCCCAAACGGGCAGGAGACTTCCCTTGAAATCTCAGCGTACATACCAGTTGATACTTTGGAAACACGTTTTCATTAAAATTTAATTAAAATTCATAGAATAGTTACACTTAAT